ACTCCACTGAAAAGACATTCTGTGTGGTAGCTAGTTCAGAGTAGCTGAAGTTAAAATTCATCATATAATTAAGCTTTGGCTCAAAGCCCAGGAGCAGCATGTCTTAGCCTGCATTGTTGATTTGGGGAAACAAACATGGCAAAACTTCTACTTCAGTCCTTGAGGAACTAGGGTTCAGTTTTCCAGCTGACCTTCTAGTATATATTTTGGGACAATTTATGGTTTAGTTACAGATCAGAAAATGCTCAGTTTTCTCCAACTAGGAGTACAGCTAGTTCTAAACAACTGCTCTTTTCTATAAACTTGTTAAGCCTCACTTTATTTAATTCTGCAAACAGATTTCTGGCAGAAGTGTTAATGTTGACATTAAATCATATCTCATGACATTTTTCACTTGTTTTCACAGTGAATATCTCATGACATTTTTCACTTGTTTATGTGAATAGTTTCACTGAAGGGGAAAGTTGATCAGATGTCAGATCTTTAAAGCTCTTTACCTCCTCCTTGAAGGTGGGCATTTCAACAACATACCACCAAGCCCCCTTGCCCAGTTTCCACTGTTATAAATGGGAGTTGTTGAAACATAACTCTGATCAAGTGGCTCCTCTTCTACTGTAAATTTTCTCTGTAAAGAAGCTATTAGGTAGAGAGAGCTAGATGGTCTAAAGTAGGGAGTGCTCTCAATAAGATTCAAACAGAAGGCAAAGTCAATGGAGGAAGCTGCAAAGTGGATATGCAAAATCAAGAGATTTCATTTGTATTATTTTTCTAAGACCTTTTACCTTTCATAATATGAAGAACAATTTCTGTAATGCATGCCTGTTCTTAATACTCCAGACAGAAATTCATCAGAAGGTGAAAGAGAGGTAGTGTAGATGTAGAAGCAACAGTGATCAAAAGCAGAATAGTATGGGATGCATGTCATTCCCTTACAGCCTCCTAATTCCTTCTACCTTGGACATCCCTTTCCACATTTAGGTTTGTGGGCTGACAGTGGTCTGAGGTTTTTTGGATAGAAAGATTTTTTGACAGCATGGTCAGAATTTATCTAAGGAAAGGAGACTGTGATTATGGAGCTGAACGTGGAATATTTACATGATAAAAGCATTTTAATGCAAGTTTCCCAAAGCTGAAAGCAACATTAAAAATGGAACACAACAATTATCCCAGAAACATAATAAAATAGAAGTAATTTTTTTTAAAAAAAGTTTGGGGGAAGCCAAAATCATTTAGCTAGTCTTTCTCATCAACTCATAGCTAGCTTCCTAGTCCAACATCAAACAAAATATGTGATTGTTTCAAACCTAAAATGAATTAAAAGAAGCAGAAATATCAGGCACCAGGTAGAGATAGTTCATTCCACAGACCTGAGGCAGACACTTAAAAACTCAGCTTCCATTCCACATGGCAGTGTGTTTCTGTTATCCCAGAGCTAGCTAAGATGGCCACCAGCAAGAATCATAGTGACTGATGGAGCTGTATTATTATAGCTATGTCTGACGATGCCACCTTGAAAAAGCTACCATTTCATCCTGGCAGCACTCTAACCAAAAGGTTTCCAAGGCATGGCAGATGAGAACACTGTAAACACTGCTGCATTCTCCCAGACATGGGGCATGCTGAGAACAGGCAGCTGGACAGACCCCTCATGATCCTGCTGTGACTGTTTGTCTCATTCACCCCATGACTGGAAGAGCACTGCAGATGTCATTTGCCCCAGTCACCATCAGCTTGGAAACCCTTCAGTTGAGATGCTGTCAAGCAGAAATGTAGGGGTGTTTTTTTGGGGGGGGTCACATTTGGTCATTAACAACCATAAACATGAATCCTCCCCTCTCCCCCCCCCCGCAGAGTTAATTGTGCAATTTTAACTCAATTTGCATCAGCTAAAGCAAGCCAAGGACAAAAGGGGAAATGGGGAAGAGAAGAGAAAAACTGGGACATTTAAAAAGCTGCTGAAAAAGTGGGCTGACAGAGGAGTAATCAGGCCTTCTGAACAATTCTGAACAATTACTGATCCTGGAAGCTCCTGGATGCTCTTGGAAGCTGCAACCCACCTTCTAAATAGGTCACAAGGTTTGTCTGTACTTCATAAGATGAAAAAATACTTATTAGTAGACTTTTATACACCTGAACAGGGGGTGTTATGTAGCTTTTGGACATTTTTGGAATGTAGACTCTTAGAATCATCCTGTAACAAAACGATTAGAACTGGTCCTACCTTCTGGGGCAACAGAGAACAGGCCTGCCTACTCCTCTTTGTGATAAGCCTTGAGGTATTTAAAGAGTGTAAACATGTCACCCCTCAGTCTTTTCTTCACCAGGCTGAACATGCTCAACTCCTTCAATCTATCCTTATATGTTTTGCTTTACATACCTCTTATCATCCTTGTTGCCTTTCTTTGAACCTGCTCTAACTTTTCTATATCTTTCTTAAAATGAGGTGCCCAAACCTGAACACAGTACTCCAGATGAGACATGACCAGTATAGAATATAGTAAACTATTGACAGTGTAGACAGTGTAGACTATTACAGTGTAGACTATTACTTTCCTCGTTTTGGCAACTGTCCTTCTGTTAATACAGAGTAGAACAGCATTCACTTTCTTTACTGCAGCATCACATTGCTGGCTTGTGTTCAATTTATGATCAACAATAATACCAAGGTCCTTTTACATGTAGTACTGCTGAGCCAATTATTCCCCATCCTATACCTGTGTGCTTTGTTTTTTTTGGCCTAAAAGTAGAATTTTTGCATTTGTCTGTCTTGAATTTTATTTTATCAATTTCTTCCCAATTTCTAGTTTATAAAGATCCACCTGAGTTCTTTTCTTATCTTCCAGTGTTTTTAACCACCCCTCCCAAATTTGTATCATCTGAAATCCTGATAAGGATACCCTCTACTCTGTCATCTAAGTCACTGATAAAAATGTTGAAGAGTAATGGCCCTAGGACAGAACTCTGACAACTCTTGGAGAATTTCCTGAGAACTCTGCAACTTCCAGAGAATTCTGAGGCAGAAAATTGCCTTCCAGGCTATACTAAAATTGTCCACCCCATATGATGTAGTACCATAGTGGCCCAGAATCTCTCATGCAGATCTTCTCAGAAAGAAGAAGAAACGGTAAATATATTGGATGGAGGAAAGATCCCAAACCAGCAGAGATCACTGGAATAACAAACAGAGTTGGAAAAAAGCAGGACATTATCAACACTGAGTTCCCTCCTCCTTCCTCACTTTATTTATGGAAATACATATGAGCAAATATTTGGTGGATTAAGTTACTACTTTGAAAATCTCATTACTTAAATTTGACTTATTATAGGACTTAATGCAATTGTTATTCCCAGCCAGAGTGGAAACATTAAATCAATGGGACATTGGGGATTTATGTAAATTCCATTGGTTCAGTGGGTCTCCTCTAGCTGAGAATAACAACTGGATTTAGCCCACAAAATTTTATAAAATGCCTTATGCAAATAAGAGCATGAATCTTGGGTAATGAGCCTAGCTTATGTTGGCATATCAAGTTCAGCTTTCTTCCTCATGATCAAGGCCTGGAGCTGATCGAATTCTTGTGTTTCGCTCCCTTCACAGGGCCCAATGGGCTCTCTGTATTTGATGGAGATGTCCAAAGCCTCCATTGCTGCTTAAATAAACTTCACACACAAGTCTAATTGCAAAGGGAATTAGAAATGGAGTAGAAAACTTTTCTTCAAAATGGTGACATACAAACTGCAGTAGCAACCTCAAATAACACTGAAATAATACAGTTGGCCCTCCATTTTCACAGGGGATCCATTCTGCCACTGCCACCCCGCAAAAACAAAGACTTGTCAATATTCAAGCCCCATAGGCTTGAATGGGGTGCCCCCCCATTGATTTCAACAGAGGTTGCCTCTCCGTGAATATGCAAAACTTCAGATTTCAAGTCCGTGAAACAGAAGGGTGACTGTAGTTTGTTTTTCTGAAAGAACAAGAGAAGAACCCCACACACATAACCTCTTCTCATTACATTACTCAACATCCATTTCAAACAGGCCTGCTCTGACGTAAAACTGTGGTTTGAAAGCTGCACCCCAAATACGTTATTCCAGCTTTGCCAAACAGCTCGCCATACTTTACTTTACTTAACATTGGAAATAACTTGTGCAATTTCTTTTTCAATTAAAACATGGTTTTCATTAATACTTGGATTGCCTTTCTGTGTACATAACAGTTTCAAATGTGCCAGCTTGCATGAAAAAGCACCAGCTGCAGTGTACATAAATTCAGTCTTTACTGATGAATTATTTAGCAGTAAGCAATAATAAAGTGCAAAGTCCGGTTTACTGTTAAACATAACGAAAACAAAAATAATGACAACGGAGGACTACACACATTCAACCTAGACAATGAGAAAATTGAAATAGTAAAAGAGTTTCCATACCTTGGATCAAATATAGATCAGAACAAGGAATGCAGTCAAGAAATCAGAAGAGGATTAAGAATGGGGAGGACAGCTACAAAATGCAAAAATGTACAACTGTACCCAAAAATCAGAATCATACAAGTTACTGTATTCCCTATTACCATGTATGAATGTGAGAGCTGGACAGTTAAGAAAGAATATAGAAAGAAAATCAATTCATTTGAGATGTGATGCTGGAGAAGAGTGCTGAGAATACCATGGACAGCCAAAAAGGTCCTAGAGCAAATCAAGTAAGAAACCTCTCTGGAAGCCAAAATGACAAAACTGAGGCTGCTGTACTTCAGACACATCATGAGAAGGTAAGACTCACTGGAGAAAAAATAATGCTAGGTAAGTGGAGGGAAGTAGAAAGAAAGGAAGGCCACATGCTAGATGGATGGACTCTATTGAAGAGGTCACAGATGTAAATATGCAGGACTTGAGCAGAGCAGTAGAGGACAGGGAGTCTTGGAGATGTCTCATCCACATGGTCACCATGGGTCGGGATCAATTCGAGAGCAATCAACAACAGCAAATAATAATATGAGAGCCAGTGTGGCTTAGTGGTTTCAGCATTGGACTACAACTCTGGAAACTAGGGTTTAATTCCCAGGTTGGCCATGAAACCAACTGGGTAACTTTGGGAAGTCACATTCTCTCAGCCTAATGGGGAGGCCATGGCAAATCTCCTCTGAACAAATACTACCAAGAAAATCCCATGATAGGTTTGTCTTAGGGTCGTCATAGGTAGGAAACAACTTGAAGGCATACAACACAAACAAGCAAAAATACAAAAGACACTAAAGGGTCATCATTCGCCAGCTGATGGAGTGCACAGCATAATTCCCCTGCCTTGTGCTCCATAAACAGTTGTTGTCAAGAAAGAACTGACTTGTTGAATTACACTGAATGTTTATTTAGTCAGGATTCTATCCCCGGCACTGTCCAACTGGCCAGATGCTCCTGGGAAGGATGACTACACTTAGAACATCATAAAAACAACAGGCCTCCTCCCATTTTTTTCAAATGTATTGTATATCTCTCCTTATGTATAACATTATGACTTGGAAGGACAGCAATGAAAGAACTAGGCAAAATCCTGAAGTGTCAAGGTATAGCATTCAATACTGAAGTTAGGATTGTCCATGCCATTGTACTTCTCATTACTAAGTATGGTTGTGAGAGCTGGTGAGGAAAGCTGATACAAAGAAAATCAACTGATTAGAGATGTGCTTTTGTTGTTGTTGTCAACCAAGGAGGCCACAATGGCCCCGAATCTGCAAGACCAGAGCAGGACTGTTGAAGATAGGGTTACCATACGTTGGGGTCAACTCGAGGACATTTAACACATTTATTGTTGTTGTTAACTGCCTTCAAGTCAATCTTGACTCATGGAGATGCTATGAATGAGACATCTCCAAGACTCCCTATCCCCCACTACTCTGCTTCAGTCCTGTAGATTCATAGCCATAGCCTCTTTAATAGAATCTTTCTACTTCCCTCCACCTTTCCTAGCATTATTTTCTTTTCTAATGAGTCAAGTCTTTTCATGACATGGCCAAAGTAAGACAGCCTCAGTTTGATCATCCTGGCTTCCAGGGCAATTTCAGTCTTCATCTGTTCTAGGACCCATTTGGTTGTCTTTTTGGTCATCCAAAGTATCCTCATCACTCTTCTCCAGCACCACATCTCAAATGAATTTATTTTCTTCTTATCCATTTTCTTAATTGTCCAGTTCTTACATCCATACATAGTTATAAGGAATACAATTGCTTATAAGATTCTAACATTTGTGCTTAGTTGCCTATCTTTGATCTTTAGGATCTTTCCTAGTTTTTCAATAGCTGCTCTCCCTGTTCTTAGTCTTGACTGCAGTCCCCATTCTGATCTATGTTTGGTCCTAGATAATGGAACTCTATTGCTATTGCTATTTCCTCACATACATGTAACATAAGTTAAGTTAGCCCAAAGACCAGAGGGTAAAGAGCAACAGACAGTCCAGCCATTTAGATCTAGTTAAAAATGTTTCATTTGCCATGGTTTTAATGGTGAGGGTTACTGCTTCTAGGGCAGCATTAATCTTCATAAGGGTATATATTTCCCTCATATCTTCTGAGCATTGTCTTACTGATATCTAGTTATAATGAGAACATTTAGTGGAGGAGATTCCCAGATGTTTTTCTTCTACTACTGGGTAGTTTGTTTCTGTCCTAGACTAGGATCTTCACTTTCTACAAATGCTGTGCAGGTGGCTTTGAAGAAGATTTCTTCTTAAATGCAAATTAATAGCAATCCAGAGAGAAAAGGATAAATAAGTAATAAATAAATAAATAAGTTCAGGATAACAAATACATTTGCTAGATGCTGGAGTGTAACAGTTTTTTTAAACAACTTTCCCCCCTTTATTCTGCCCACTAAGGTAGTGTTCTTATCTGTTTATCTGGGATCTAAAATTCATCCCCCCCACCTCCGCTGCCCTGGGTTTTCTTGGGGAAGGTCATGATAACCGACATTTAACATAAAAGAGTCTAAAATAAAACCTGTCTTTCTATCAGATCAATGGGTCTATTTGAATGTTCATCATGGGAAGGGGAGCTGAAAATAGCATTGTGCAGATGTGACTAGGCTTAATGTGTTCCAGGTCTCAGCAACTGCTAGCCTCTTAAGGGATATCATCTTAGCCACTGATTTTGCTATGACCAAAACAGCACAGGTGGATCATCATATATTTGTTACGTTAAGACAATTTTAAACATGTGTCACATGGCTAAATGAGAGAAATCTTTGGTGATATTATGGTTTGATGAAGAAAATAGAGTGCTGAGAAAGAGACTGAGAAAATAAATGAGTAGAATTCATGAATCTTCTCACCCAGATGAACACTGTCTGTTAGAACTTAGGCAAGATCATTAAAAAGAACAACCAAATTATTGTTTCCAAATTTTGGAATGATCTGGAAAGGTCAGTGAATGGAACTGCCTGTATTTTGTAGGTAGCTTTGATACAATTGAGGGAATAAAATTCACCCTCAGTATCCCAACAGATGCTTCTGTTGAGAACATTTCTATACAAATGTGTTTAAAGAAGCAATCACAATGGGAACAACTTGTGAGGACTGTCTCGCACATTAATCCACTTCTTCGATGGAGTGCTTTCAAGTCATTTCTGACTTATGGTGAACCTAAGGTGAACCTATCATGGGGTTTTCTTGGCAAGATATGTTCAGAGGAGGTTTGGCATTCCCCTCCCCTGAGGCCGAGAGAGTGTGACATGCCCAACGTCACCAAGGGGGTTACACAGCCAAGAAGATAATTGTAGTCTGGTCTACACAGCTGTAGTCCAACATTCAAACCACTATGCCACACTGGCCCTCTAGCCTTCTATATATTTAGAGGTTAATGTTCTTATAGAGTCATTGAAGAACAGCAAGGTGACAGAAGAGGAGTTCCTGTCTCCACAGATCCTTAATATCCATATCAACTAATGTGCCTCACTATTGGATGGCCAGTTCACCCATGAAAACAACTCAGGATATCTCAATACCAGGAACCTAGAAATTAGTCTAATTGATATACCAGGAGTTAAACAAGGGTGTCTTCTGGCACCATCACTCTTTAATTTGTA